CGCGATTTCAGAAGTCATGCTCTGAGTAAAACCTTTGAGCCAATAAGCTTAAGGATTGCAGCAGGTGCTGTAGACATGCCACGTCAATCATTTTTTGTCAATAAATTTACACGAAACGAATTTGTAGTGTTAACGATAATCTAAATAGTAAACAACAATGGAATTATGTGTGTGAGGAGTTATAGACGAATATAACTCAAGGATAATTATGTTTTACTGTATTGAGAACAAAGCAATACGATATTATTCAACAATATTTATGGAGCTAAATTTATATAGGGCCGCGACATGATAAAAGCGCTGGCTAGAGTGAAAACACAACTGCTTTCCGAGAAAGCCATAATTCAGGTGAAGTTATTAAACAGAAATCGGCGCCCCTCTAAGAAGACAAGCAAGTTAGTTGTACAAATATAACCTAACACAGTCTATGTAGTCATTATGCTTAGCGGGAAAAGCAGTAGTATCTAACGCTGTACCCAGTGACTTCGCTACGTCGGACCAACAGCACACAACCAAGTTCTGTGGTTGACTCAAGTTATTGGTAAACAGAAAACCAAATCGAATAGATGATATTTTGAAGGTTTAGCCATCTTTAGTTACCAATGTAGACTAGGCAATAGGGGGTGCAAATTAAAAACGAAGGCTTTTGGTCAAAATGATCAATCTGTGTCGGCTTAGACTTACGGAATTCGTCGCAGCAGGCGCACTCGGCACGACACTCTGACCACCAACGGCGGAACTGGGCACGCCAGGAGCATTGAGGGCTTCGTCTAAATATTCATTATCGCGGCTAGCCTCGTAGTCCTCACCCAGCGCTGCCAATTCTGCATCCAGGTCTTCTTCATTATAGTCCTCGGAGAGCACCGATCGGCCAAGCACTTCCCCGAATTCGTCGTGTAATTCCATCATGTCGGTGATATCATCTTGCAAATCCTAACAAATGGTAGCAAAATGTGACACAGATAAGAGAAGGCTGCGAAGAGCACTTATCCATAATTGCTTGTTGGAAATGTACTTAGTAATTCGGCTGTAGGATTCTGGCAATTACGTCGAAAAATTGCGGATTATTAAGTCCAGAAGGTAGGCAGAATGGCATAAATGAATGGCAGACTATAAGTGTAAGGTTCTGTGATAAAAATGTTCAGACGGCTGCTCAGCCCGTACAGTGTTAGTGTTACCCGGAAGAAAGAGACAATCATGATAGTGGGCATAAAATTACCTCAATTTTGTTGATGTCCAGCTTTTTAGTCTCTTTTTTGAATTCTTTAAGACCGCTTTTCATTGCATTTACGGTGATTTGGGTGTCCTTAACACTTTGAATGGCATAGCCAGCCTGATCCATATTAAAACTCTGTGCGGACAGGTTTTCTCTCTGCTTTTCCAGTTGTTTAACTTGGCGGAGGACACCAAGAGCTTTGCGCTTTATAGATTCTTTTGCTGGTCCCTCTCTCATGCCCTTCATTTGTTGTTGGTATTTTCCGATTTCTTGACGCATCATGTTGATTTTTTTGTCGAGAGTTGCAATTCTATTGTCAATCTAAAGAGAGTTTTAAGAAAAGGAAGTCAAACGTTAGCGGCCGCATCTGTAAGGGTAGGTGCTGGGGCCTTTGCCTGGCCACGACCGAAAACACGGTGCATTTTTCACAACGGCAAA